CTATTCACAGATGATTATCATGTATTAGTCTTAAAGTATACCTCTACACTGTATAAGGTGGTTCCACATGTAAATATGTGTCGGCATGTATATTTACAGCATTATAATATCAAATCTTGTAAAACTCATGAATAATTAACGAGGAAAACACAATAGTTAATCACAACCGTGAAGAGTGTTGTAAGTAATATTAAAATAAAATATGAGCGGGAGACCTTTATGGGCATTTAAAACTGCGAATCAGGACAAATCTCTTGCTCATATAAAGATGCGGTCACAGCAATGATTTTCCATTGTGTTTACCTTATGAATTAATAACGAATTTGATAATATTTGATACAAAACTGTCTTGATTTGCATAAACTTCAAATCTAATTTTCTCAGCCAAATTCAATTTTAACTTTAACTTTTAGTAGATACTGAATGCATACACCTAAACGTTTCACACTAGTAATTTACAACATTCGTGTCCGTGTTGTATACAACACCGCCGCTCATGTTATTTTCACTTTTTGATGACACGTTAATCCTGCTACAGTGAAATGGTATTTCTCAAGAAAATATTACCCTGTCCAAGACACAAAAAAAATTATATAGGTCTTTTCTCTAAATAGTACAGCCTGTTTAAGACAATTTCAGGTGAAATGTATACCCTGTTTAAGACAGCAAGGCCAAAAGTGTTATTTTCACTAGTGAAAATAACACATTTGAGGTTTCTCTATATAATGTAAGTACGAAAAAAGGTATTTTACAACATCATTTGCTTTCATAAACAATTATATGGTAAATAGACGATATTACATGGTCACTTACAAATTACAAATTTTATCTTCTCGTTTGTTGCGTTCTCGTTGCCTACTACATGGCTGACAAACGCATTCACTAAAATTTCAAACCCGTGGTTTGAACAAAACCTGCAATACCTAGGTTTAGAATGCATGATTTACAAAGCCGGCAATTGTACTTTAAAGTCGGAAGTAAAATTGACAGACGCGCGCGCGCGCGGTACACAAATCTATTTTCGCGCCTTTTTTCTCTGAGCTGAAATTGGACTAATAGTTGTGGATATCCACCTTCCCGAATAAAAATATTTAAAGCAAATAAGACTTAAAAATCAAAATATAATGAACTATCGACGAATTACTACATTCCGTTTAACATACAAAGGAAAAGATTGTATTACCGTTACTGCTGCGGTCACAGTCTGAA